TCAGAAAGAATTTTCAGACAAATTTAGGATTTTATTCACTTATTTACAATGGGTTGATTGAGTTTTGATTTAATTCTTCTCAAAAAGAAAAACAAAATTCGGAAAAGAAGGAAAAGAAAGAAGAACCACTCCTCAGAACCTACTTTTAAACGAACATCCAGTGGTTTCCTGCAAGAAATGAGAAAGCCTTAAGGTCCACCGTACAGCAAAAGATAACTTGGCTGCACGCCCAAAACTTAAGTAAATTATCTCCATTCAGGATATAAGAAATTCAACATCACCATAACCACAATTAAAATATCCAATCTTTTAATTCCTCTAAAATCCACATCATTTTTCGGGAAGATATTTGATACTCATACTGTTTTAAATCCACTGAATACGAATCAGATTCTAAAAAAGGTTCTGTGACTGCTAAGTTATGAACAGAGAGGGGTCTTTCACGAAACCAAAACAAAAGGAATATTTCACGAGTTTTCCAAACTAAATATTCCATAAAAAAAAAACTCAAATTTCCCACTGATCGTCCACTGATTGCAGTCGGGTAAGATCAAACAGAGCAGCTAATTAATCTTTAGCTTTACAAAAGGGCAAATGCGTTGGCTGATTTGCAGTTAAACTTGTTGAACAATAATTCAATCGCAGGCGAACATAAATCGTCTGCGTGATATACTTTTCGGAGAGCAAGAATATAACAGATAAAGCCATGTTTACTGAGGGTGCGTCAGGGTTGCACTTTTTTTTGCATGATCCAAATAGTCTATTCCTTTAAAGAGGATCATCGCACTTATTTCATGCAGCAGCAATTTTCGTTCAAGTTTAAAGAAAAGTCTTATCTTTATTTAGCAAAGCCCTGTCGACTTAATGGCCTTGCTCATGAACACGTTTCCACATCTTCTAGTACAATTTGTAAGGTTAAAATGGACGAAGCGGCGAAATAACAACGTGTTCAATCAACGCCTGCTTGAGTTTATTTATTCTTTTTTTCAATCTAAAGTGAACTTTATATCCTAATAACAGAGCGTCCACAGCGAGTATCAATTACCGGCCGCAAAAAGAACATGTTTATGTATTCCAAAAATGAAACACCAATAATCATGAAAGCAGAAACAGAGCAGAAACTGTTCAAAACAAAAACTTGAATTTGTTGTGGATGTAAATTTATTTGTCTAGACAATCTTTTATTATTTCAGATTACACTCCGTATCAGTCGAGAGGGTTTCATAGATAAAAATCCCATCTTCCTTTTTCCACTAATTTGCATCTCGTTATGTAAACAGTTTGGTCCAAGCTTTTTTTCTACAACATAATTTCCTTCCTAAGTTTAGACTGCCTGATGTAAGCTATTCCCCTTACTGAGACAAAAGCCTCCAATGGCACATTTATTCACTTTTTTAATAAAAATTAAACGTAAGCCAGCTATTTTGGAGTATTCAAAACGCCAATAATCGTCTGTAACTCGACAATTTTCCCGAGTTCAGATCATCATTTGCTCTTCATCTAGACTCTAAATTCTAACTTTAAAAGTAGTAGTGAGAAAAGACATTATCGAAACAATGTTATTCTTGCTTTTTTGTGAGTTTATTGTGTTTCCTTTAGTTTTTCCCCTCCAGTGACTTACAACTCAAACGTATTTCATGCATGACAGCACGAACTTTTTTCTTCTCTTGTGTTGTATTCATTCTCAGTAATAAAAGCTGTTCGTGATTTAAAAATTACTTGAAGTGAAAAGTGACTTTAATCTCCTTCTAACAAGAAACTGAGATTATTCCATTAATTTTGAATAAAAGGATGTTTTAAACCCCCTTGAAACAGTTCCTATTTTACATAATTAAAGCACATGTATTTAAAGTACATTGGGGAAACGAAGTCCAACTTAGAATAAACAGTTTTTAGGCATAAGCTAAACAAATTATTGTTTTTCATATTTGTTTTTTTAGGCTTTTTTGCGAGCTACACAAAAGATACGATCTCCCAGTGATATTGATGTAGTTTGCTTCT